TTTTTTTTTTTTTTTTTTTTTTTTTTGTGGTGGCTGGCTTTCTTGACTGGAAGAACTTGTTGGGAAGAAAAGAAAAGCCCCATCTGCCGTACTTGGGGGGGCCAGGTCAGCCCAATAATGTCAAGCATTCTACCACCAGTAGCTGAAGGCCCCTATGGCCTGGGCCCTATGGGAAAGGTGGTACCATGGTTCCTTGTGGAACTGGTGGTATGTCCCATTGCTTACTGGGGCCATAGTACTACCCTCTTCACCCGAATAGAACGCCCGGTCATTATCGCTGTATATGGACTGAAAATTGCACCAAATACAGCTATAATGACCGGGCGTTCTATTCGGGTGAAGCCGGTAGCGACAGCGGCAGGGAACACTGGTACTTCTAATGCTGGTAGTAGTACTGCAATTGCTACTGGTAATGCAAGCCTTTTGTGGATGCATCTGAACGTAAATAGGGTCAAATTCATTTGGGGTAGCAGTACCAGTGTACCACCATTAAGTAGTAGCATCTGCTACTGTAACTCCGAAATTCCGCTCGGTGTTGGTGCTGATACCCCCTATGAATCCGACCTTCATCAGGCTCAGATGCATCCATTATCATCTTGATAGTAGTAATGGCTACTAGGCTACTGCTATAAGCACTGCCTGCCATCAAGTGGTGGTACTCCTTACATTTTTTTTTTTATAAACAAAACACCCCTGCCGTTGCTAGTGGTGCTGATAAGAGCAGACACCGCTAGCACCTGGGGGGAGGCCCCATCTATGGTACTCCTTATCTTTTTTTTTTTTGTTTTTTTTTTTTGAAAATGCCCTTGTGCAAGGCCTCTATCCTGGTGGTGGTAAGAGAACCACCGGGATTGAGGCTTTGCATGGTGGGCCGTTCCATCTATTGGTGGGGAGCAACACCTGTTGGAAACCGGGTTCAGCGTCCCATAAATACATCTTAACAGAACAGTACATCTTAGAAAGTGACGCCATTGTGCTGGAAACCGGGTCCAGCGTCCCATATCCAATCTACTCTTCCTTACCAACACTGCAGCAGGGTCGGGTATTGGGGGGAGAAACCCCGGGGGGCACCAGTGGAGTCTCCCTCCCCTAGCCTCTGCCATCCACCTACTATTCTCGTGGCGCCTAGTATGTCTTTCCCTCTGTAATAGCATGTGTTTGAGAAAGGCTGAGACAACCTACAATCAGGCAGAAATGTGCTGCACAGACATCAGCTGAAATTTTCATATCTGTTGTTTTTTAATCAGAAAGCTTTTTTCCACTGACAGTGACGCTACTGTGCTGGAAACCGGGTCCAGCGTCCCATACCTGATCTATGTGTCCAATCCAACTCCTGCTGGAAACCGGGTCCAGCGTCCCATACCTGATCTATGTGTCCAATCCCTTCCTGCATTCCAGACTCGTCCTGCAGCAGGGTCAGGGGGCGGGAGGGGACGTTGGGGCCCGGCCTATTGTAGTCATCAGAGGTGTCTGAGACTGCTTGAGGACTAATGTTGGGAATGTTTAGGAAGTAGTTGATGCCTCCAACTCCTGCTGGAAACCGCATCCAACGTCCCATACCTGATCTTTTTGTCCAATCCCTTCCTGCATTCCAGTCTCGTCCTGCAGCAGGGTCAGGGGGTGGGGGCGGACGTTGGGGCCCCGCTTGTTGTAGTCATCAGAGGTGTCTGAGACTGCTCGAGGACTAATGTTGGGAATGTTTAGGAAGTAGTTGATGCCTCATGGAGGGGGAAGAGCTTCTTCTAAGGCCAAGGGGTGAGGGGGGAAGGGGTTTGAAAATTCTTGAGCGGGGCGTAACCTATCGCCAGGATCTATGTTGGTCCAGTCGTGGAAGATCAGCTGATAGTCCCTTGCTATCTCTGCCTGATGTCCTTCAGGCAGTTGTCCTTCCTGCTGACGATCCCCAGACCATCTTATCTCAGCCACTTCTCTCACCCCTCCCAGCCAGTCTTGACTGAATCGGGAGATAATCCGAGTGATATCTCCCCGGGAATGCATTTGGTCAAGTTTATCCTTGGCTGCCTTCCACTGAGCTGCAATTTCGTGTTGGATTAACAAACGTAGTTGTTCCATGACTTCTCCTTCCTCCACCCGTGCCCCCTCTACTTCCATTGTGCATCTTTTCCACCAGATGGCCCAAAGAACAGCCGGCCTGCTTAGATGGAACATGTTCTCCTCGAATGTGTTTCCCTGGATCGTGGGGTAGTGACCTAGTAATATGGCCCTCCATTCCCATGGCCATTCTGCATTAGGGACCATATATCGCCAGATCCTGTCCCAACTCCTCCATAATAGTACCGATGCCGGGCATTGGAGGAAAATGTGTTCAATTGTCTCCGCACGTTTTCTCCCTGGATAACTCTGAAGGCAATTGTGGCACCATGGTAATGCACGTCCTTGCTGTTCCAAGCGGGTATGCTCTATCAGTCAGTCATAACTTGGCAGGCATCTATGTGTTATTTGCCACTGAAGGGCGGCAATCTTTGCGGGTCTGTCCCCGTATTGCGTGAACCATCGGATGGGTTTGAGCAGGTCGCGGTCTACATTGAGATGTCGGTACCATCTGTCCTCTACTAGTTCCCGCAGTCTTCGCTTGGGACAGAGCATTCGGTAGACTGATTTGGCTTTCAAATTATGTATCATTAGTTGTTTCCCCTGCCTACTCCGACCTTCCTGGGACCAGTGCCACTCGTCTGGGTGGAAGGGAAGTTCCTCAACCGGGGTCAATGGACGGTATGCTCTCCAACATCTACCATCATCTAGAACTCTGATACGATATATGCTCGTGCTGTCTTTCCAGATGAAGGGTTGCCGGCTTCCTCGTATCTCGCCGTCCCTTTGGACGGAGAAGACCTCGATCAGGGCTTGTGTTTGATTGGTGATATGTACTCGCCCTATTTCCTTATCGTGGTCGGGTAGCCCTACCCAGTCTCCTTCCTTCAAACAAGGGCCTTTTCGAAGGGTACTGTACCACTGGAGAGGAAAGCTCTCAATAAGTTCATTAAGCGCGGATTCAGTGAAATGGCAATATCGCAGCCAATACCGCATCCTTTTAACACTTTTCCAACCCCTTGCCCTGTCCCAAAGGTCCCCTACCCTGCTAACGCCGTGTTTCACCCAGCCCTTCCAGGGGGCATCTGAGGTGCACCTCACGCGGCCCAAGGGATCCGTGATCAAACGGTTTCCGATCAGCGGCTGTCTGAAGATTTCTTCCCATCTATCCGGAGTCAGTCGGTCAAGCGGCGGGAACTTCCTCCATGTGCACATGAGGCGCAACCAGTGCTTGTCCACAGGGCCCCCATTCCTATAATTTCTTGGGAGCCTCCAGTGCCTGTCCTGCAACCAGACACAACGGGTCGGTTTCAGGCGGGGCTTCTGGGGCCAGGGCTGCAATTTGCGCCAGGGCTAGGGGGGGTCAGGGGGAGGATGGCGAAAAAATGATGTGCTGGAGCCAGCGAATCATGAGGGTCTGGAATTGTGTGGATGGGTCCACGATGCCCAGTCCTCCTCTGGTTTTAGGTTGAATCACTGAGTCCCATGCTACTCGACTGATCGGGTGGGGGTTGTTTGGCGTTTGCAGGTCCTACCAACCATTCATCATTGGTGACCGGACTTCCTTTGGTCGTGATGAGAGCCCCCATGACTCTTAGAGAGTCGTCTAGAGGAACCCATGTGATTCTCGGGTTTTCAGGGGGTCTTCCTCCTTGATGATGCATCCACCATCCTACGGTCTTCTGCCCCTAGTTTACTGCCATATCGGATAGTCGACAAAACCAATTCATAAGATTGTGAATTTCCTCCATGTTTCGGTCTGTGGCTTCCATCATTATGGTGAGGTCGTCAGCAAAAAGGGAGCATATTGGTACCGCCTCTTCCAAAACGTTAGTGATCTTAATACGGGAGAGGTCTTTGTTGTGTCTAAGGTTGGTCGAAAGTGCTTCCATTATCACTAGAAAGAGATAAGGGGCGATGGGGTCCTTTTGTCTCACTGACCGATGGAGCTCAAAAGGGGGCGTTATCGACCCATTGACTTGGACACAGGTGGTGGCATTATGATGGAGGATCCTGACCCAACGCCGAAAGACGGGGCCGAAGTTCATTCTTTCCAGGCATTTATCTAGGAAGTTTCAATCTACGTGGTCATAGGCCTTTTCAAAATCAATGAATATGATGGCCGCGTTCGCTTTATTTCGTTGGGCCAGTTGGACCACTTCGTTTACTAACAGGATATTTTCCTGTATGTTCCTGTCGACCATAAATCCTGTCTGAGCTGGGTGTATGACGTCTTTAAGGACGGCCGCCATACGGTTTGCTAG